TCACATGTACCCCAAAACCTAAAATGCAATAAAATAAATAAATGGGGAAAAAATTACCCGTATTTATTATTAAAAAAAATTCCTTTTTCTTTTCTAGTGGCTGATTCTTTTCTTTTATGTGGTTATTTTTCACTGACCACTTATTTATGAATGAAGATTAGAGTGATCAGGAGTAGTGAGCTTCCCTAACAATCTGGTTGGATTGTGTTTCATATTGTTTAGTGAGGCCCTTCCCTCATTTCCTTCCTTCCTTTCCCTTCCCTTCCTTCCTCTCCCCTCCTTTCTTCCCTTCTCTTCCCTTCCCTTCATGGGCTTTCTTAATCTGTTTGCATTGTGTTTAATACTCTTTGGTGAGACTGTTGCCTCCTTTCCGCCCCTTTTTATGAGAAAGGAGAGAAGGCTATGGTGAAAGATTCAGAAAATGGGAGTATTAGAATAGATGTGAAGCTGCTGTAAAAAAAGAACCTAAAAGTACCAGGTCTTAAATAATATACCAATTTATTTCTCTGTCAAGTAACAGTCTAGTGGTGAGTAGTCCAGGTTGGTGGGGCAGCTCTTCTGTCTTCAGTTAGTCATTTGAGGACATTGTTTCTTCTATTTTGTTGCTTCCTCAATCCTTATGGTTTTATCTTAATTGACGGAAGTTAGATCAAGCTAGAAGGAGAAAGTACAGTGATGAAGGGCAAGCAATTTCCTTTCATGCAAATGATATAGAAACTGCTGCAGACATCTCTTCCACTCACTTTCTTTCAGATGCCTCTTCCATTTCCATTGATGAGAACTAATCACATGACCAGTCTGGGAAATGGAAGCTAGAGCTGAATATCCATGTGCCTAGCTAAAATTCCTCTACTAGGGAAGAGGAGAAGAAAAGATCTCTGGTGACCACTGGCAGTCTGTCACACCAAGCTGATAAGAAACAAATCTCTTTAAAAGTATGTAAAACCAGGTCAATAATGTTTCTCTAAGAGCCCAAAGTCATCCATGTGGCTCATAAGCCAAAGGGTGGCTCTCTGAAGTCTGGTGCAGGAGAACAAATGGAACCTCTTTGTTACCACCATAAAAATTAATTGTTTTTTAAATTGTTGAAATAATTTTCTTTTCCCTTCATCCTCACGGATTCTATGTGAAAGTGCAGAATACTTTTTCTGATGTTCTAAAAGGTGGCAATCTAGGCCATTTATTTAAATACCCTAAATGAAGAAAGTCTATTCAGGAATATCCTCGAGTCCTAACTCTTGTTCTCTATCCAGAGCCTTCTTCAAGTGCTCCATTGTTTTCCTTCACAAAGGAAAATGGGGAAATTCTTCCCAAAGGTGCCAGGGACTCTTGGTTCTTTTCCTTATGCTGGAACTCCTTGGATAGCAAGGGAAAATTGAAAACTCTGAAATAAAGATGGGAATGTATTGGCTTATACAATGTAAGAGTTCAAGAATAGACAAGAGATACACCTTGATCCAGGGGTTCGAAACAGGTTATCAGGATATGCCTCCTAGTGCTACTTTTCTGAGTGTTGGATTACCCCTTTGACAAGCTTTCATTCGTGGAGGTCTCCAACATTTCAAGTTTTTGGTTTCACAGCTCCAATTCTATTTTATTTTATCATTATTTTTTGAGACAGGGTCTCACTCTGTTGCCCAGGCTAGACAGCAGTGGCATGATCATAGCTCACTGCAGCCTCAACCTCCCGGGCTCAAATGATCTTCCCACCTTAGCCTCCTGAATAGCTGGGACCACAGACACATGCCACCACACCTGGATATTTTTTTTTAAGTAGAGATGAGGTCTCACTGTGTTGCCCATGTTGGTCTTAAACTCCCAAGCTCGAGTAATCCTCCTGCCTCAGCCTCCCAAAGTGCTGGGATTATAGGTATGAGCCACTGCACCTGGCCTCACAGCCCCAATTCTAGCAGGAAAAGAGAATATACCACTTTCTCGTCAGCTTAAGTGAAAGTACCCAAGACCATTAGCATAGATCTTTGACTCTGATTAGATCACTGGTTCATCTTAGAACTGTTCAATTCCACTATCACATTGAATATTCTAAATAGTCAGTACCACATCATCTACATCATAGGCATACATAAAGAGCAAAAGGTTAACACCACACAAAGCAGTAGAAAGGAAAATCAAGGTACTGTTACCGAAGGGAGCTTGGATGGAAGGCAACAAAATAACAACAAATGTCCACCACTCATCCATTTGCCTATGGAGATGGCATATCTAAGGTAGTATTAGGATGACTCTTAAATACTTGCCTTTGAGTAAGGATGTTCTCTAATGCCCTTTATACTACTGAGTTTTTCTGAGTCTTCCTATTGCAGTATCTTATTCCAAGTGTTTTCTGTTACCATATCTTCATGTTCTCTCACTTTTATGGCAGGCATATGTCTTCCCACTAGGACCTACTGATCCTGAGTAATATCACAGTAATGACCATTTTGCAAAAGTCCTTGTAGTGTTGATTTTACAGGTCACTTTAATTTTTTTGTAACTTCATGCCACACTGTATTTCTCCTGCAGATGGATGTTTAAAAAAATTTTATGTCTCACTTTAAGAAAATGAGGGACAAGAAGATCAGAGCATCCATAGCAAAATAGTTTGTAAAGAATTTTAGGGAAGAAACCCTTTATTTGATAAACAGAATAATGGATCTCTTCAAGATTCTTTAAAGACTGGACCTACTGATAGGTAGTTGTATACTCTAAAATTTGGAATAGACAAGCCATTTGTTACAATAATAGCAAGGCTCTGTCCATGTTGGTGAGGACTAAGTGGGGAGCAGAGAATCTCGTTTTACCATTGTTCTTTTGAACAAGATAGATAGTTGAGACTCAGACAATGTGGTGTGTGGCAAGATGGCTAAGAAGATAGACTATGTCAAAATCCTAGTTCTGCCACTTACTGCCTACTTGATCTTAGGTAAGTTGCTTGATTTCAGCATTCCTTCGTTTATTCTTCTATAAAATGGAAATAATAACAGTATTCACTTCACAGAGTTATGATGCTTATAGAAGTTAGTATGTATAAAATGTTCAGAGCAGTATAAGAACATGAAAGTAATATAAGAGCCAGGTAAGTACATAGTAGTAATTTTGTAGTGATTACTATTTTTTTCATGAAAATCATACATAAATATTCAATGATCAAAGTGAAAGAAGTGGTCAAGTGAAGTGTAATCTCAATCTCATGCCTGTAATCTCAACACTTAGGGAGGCTGAGGTAGGAGGATTGCTTGAGGCCAGGAATTTGAGGCCAGGAGTTCCCTTGACAACATGGAATNATTTTCTAATTTATAACTTGAGTTTGACTATTTTTATCTTCCTTTCCTATGGCAGTTCACTTAAAATGACAGTAACAACAACAATAAAATTAAAGTAAAAAGTTTAAAGTGAGAGAAATATGCAGTAGCAAGTTCCTTGAAGAAACAACCAAAGCACAAAACCCAAATTTTCTTTTTATGAATTCTGCCTAAATTATCCACTTCTAAGTAAGAAGGTGGAAGTAGCATACTAATGGAAAAATAGGCTAATGAGCCTACCCTGGTTTCACATTCAAGAGATGGAATAATTTATGGGAAAGCTCTCAAAGCTTCTAAATGCTGCAATCAAATCACTCTATGGAGAAAGCTACAAAATCACATTCCAAACAATGAAGACATCAGTTTCTTAATGGAACAGTTCCAACCATCTGGCATTCATATGTTGTTCGTAGCAGTAGTTATTGCACAGACATAATGACCCAGTTCCACCTCTAGGCAAGAAGCTTTCATGAAAGGTTTACCCTGGCCACTTGTGGGGGGTTAATATGACCAGAAGAGTTTTTTTTTTCTTTTTCAACTGTTCTATTGTTAACGTTTCAAATTCAGAACTTTTCCCAGCAAAACAAGAAAAGAAGGAGCTTCAAATATATTTATAGAGTGCAAGAAAGTGAGCAGAAGGAGATTTCAATGTTTTAGAAAGAAATTTTTCTTCAATGCAATTTAAAAAAAAAAGTGCCTTGTTACACAGGCTGGATTCAGTCTTAATGATAATCAGTTATTACTACTAAACAGGTTTAAATAAAATTTTGGATGCTTTTTTAAAACTGCACTTTAAAAATGAACTTTGAATAAAACTCGCAACACAAGGAGCAAAAACATTTCATTTTCCTTTGGATGCACTGCCAATTTTGTTAGCATAGTATCTTTTCCATTTACAATGGAACTTCACCTATAGTCTAAGATTCAATTGTTCATTTAAAATTAATTAATTCAAAAAGTATTTACTGTGCAATTAGAAAGTGCTAGATGCTGAGGTAGGTATATTTAATGGAGTATAAAAAAGCAGATTTAAAGAAATTGGATCAGGCAGTTTGTGAAAAGGGTAGGTTGATACAAAATGTTAAGAGAATGAGAGATTTTTTTTTAAAAAAGATAACCAGATAAGATGAAAAAGAAGATGGAAGACAAAAGGGAGACATGCAAGAAAAATTAGCATGCATTCTAAATAAAATCTACATTGGAGTAATTAAATAGAAAAATGTTCTGGATAATAGTATAGATTTTACAGTTTATAAGCTCTCCTAGGAAGCAGTGGGGAAAGGCAAAGAGAAATGACAAGTGAATGACTGAATGGAGAACAGAGACCTCAGAGCCAATATATGCACATGGCTGTTCTGGAAGGATACTGAAATGAACAAAAGCAACAATTAAATATGTGGTAGAAGAAAACTTTCCTGAGCCTCTCTTATGAAGGTTTACATACTTATTTATAATCCTATTACACAAAGACCTATTTGTGTAGAGTTGAAGGATATTCTTGGTTACAACATAGTTTGTTTGTTTTTTTTTTTTTTTTTTTTTTAGAGAATAAAACATTTAAAGATGGGCAGAGACTAAAATATAGATCACTGCTAAGTTCATTTGGGCTACTGTAATAAAATATACTAAACTGGGTAGTTTTTAAATATATTTAAAACAGTTCTGGAGGTTGGGAGGTTCAAGATCAAGGCACCAGCAGATTTGGTGTCTGGTGAGGGCCCATTTTCTGGTTCACAGATGTCACCTTCTTGCTATGTCTTCACATGTGAAAGGGATCAGGGCAGCTCTTTAAGGCCCCTTTGCTAAAGGCACTAATCCCATTCATAAGAACAGAGACCTCATGACTTAATCATCTCTCAAAGGCTCTACCTTCTGACATCATCACCCTGGTGATTAGCATTCAACATATAAATTTGTGGGGGACGCAAATATTCAGACCATAGCAACCACCCAGGAAGCCTTGTTGAAAAATGCAAAGATTAGCCCAAGCAACTGAGTTGTATACCAAGTTGAGAGCATTTAAAAAATATTATTAAGGGTGGGGTGCAGCTGTTCATGCCTGTGATTCTAGTGCTTTGGGAGGCCCAGGAGGAAGAAAGGCTTCAAGGCAGGAGTTTAAGACCAGCTTCAGCAATGTAGTAAGACTCCATCTCTACAAAGAATTAAAAAGTAAATTAAGCCAGGTGTGGTGGCACATGCCTGTAGTTCTATCTACTCAGGAGACTGAGATGGAAGGATTGCTTGAGTCTAGGAGTTCGAGGTTACAGTAAGCGATGATTGTGCTACTGCACTCCAGCTAGTGTAACAGAGTGAGACCCTGTCCCAATAAATAAACAATAAAAATAACTATGA